GCTTTTTCAGCTGGTTGCATCTGAACCCTGCCAAGTCTCTCATCATGGTTTTATTGTTTTACTGGTGTGTGTGTGTGTGTGTGTGTATGAGTGTTCATGAGAGCGTGTGTGTGTTTGTCTGTGGTTTGGGGTGGGTCTGTTGGGTGGTCTGGGGGAGGGGTCTTGGGTCGGCGGGATTGTTTTTAACCAAACTGTAAAGCACTTTGTGTTGCATCTTTTGTGTGAAAAGCGCTTTATAAATACAATGTGATTGATTGAAACTTCATTGTAATATTGAAGTGGGAATTGATGATTACAGCAAAGCCATTTTTAAAAAAAGCGTTTAAATCCAATTGTATTAGAGATTTAGTGAGTATATCATCCTCCCGTCATTGTTTAGGTTTATTTCCTGTTTTATTTAGTAATAATATCATTATAATATTATCAGATGATTTAATTAAAACAATGTTCAAATATGATCTAGTTAAAACTATAAAAAAGAAAAGAAAAAGGAAGATAGAGTGTAATGACCTCAGCTTGAAGCGAGAGAAGGAAAAGTGAGTGGTCAGAGTGTTTCAGGGTGTGTGTTTGTGTGTGTGTGTGTTTGTGTCAAGCCCCGGCGATCCAAGATAGCGCCGTATTCAAATGAATGGTTTATGCTCAGTGGCGCATTGTGCCGGTATGGGCGCTGAAAGATTAGCGGAACTTGCCAGGAACTTCCAAAGACTCATGGGGAACCCGCCTGTATTTGGGCATCGTCTGGTCCTCCCGGTTCTGCGCAGTGGATGAACTCCCATGATGCGTTGCGCCAAATACGCGTGTGTGGCTCTCATGCACAGAGGGCTCGCCACGCTCTGACCAATCAGAGCTCAACAGAGCGAGAGGCAGAGCAGGAGCCAGACGGGCAGAGTTTGTGGCACTAAAGTGTGGAATTAAAGAAAACCGAAGGATTTAAGAAGAAAAAAAGTTCAGGATGACAAGTGACACTTGAATCCCCACAAAATCTGACCTTTATGAAAGCTGTAGATGCTCTGTCAGCTGAAGTCGAGCTGTTTTAGTTTACATTGAGTTCTATGGGGAAAATTTTCTGGGCAGCTAAAATCAGGGTAAGGTGATTTTATAAGATCACGGCCTCACAACCTCTGGTGACCGGAGGGCCTACATAAGCACAGTTGTTAGATATCTGGAACACCCACATAATGTGGCATAAGCAATGACATGAATCAGAGAAATGTAACAAAACAAATACTCAACTTGTTGGTTCGTAGAGGAAGGTCTTTATGTACATATAAGATGGACGGGAGTTCAAATTGAAGCAGCACATGCAGTCATGCAGCAAATGCTGCTTATATAGCTTTGGTCGGCCGGGAGGAGTTAAGAAATGTTGTCCGTAATTTCCTTTTTTGGATACACAGTTCAGCTTGCATTGACTTGTCCAGTTGGATGATGCATGTTGTCTGTCTTTCACGGTCTGTCTCCATGCTTCTGTGTCAGCATGGCGATCTGATATTTTTGTGAATACCTCTGTGTCTGTATTAAGTTCCCTGACCCAACAGTGAACCAACATGTTCAGAAAAAACATAATTACAGTAGCCCACGTGAATTTAGTCTGGTTTAGTCTGCAGTACCGCGAGAATCCCCCGAGCACATGGGTTCTGCAGCTCCAAGCTAGTAATACCCTATCCAGTTAATATAATATATTCATGGTTTGTGTGTGTTGCGTGAATGAGGAAGTAGGTTCCCAATAAGCATTTGTTTCGTTGTTTCTTTTCAAACTGTATTTTTCAAATTGAACGTCTGTATCTTGTTTGTTTTGTTGTGCTGTTTGAGAAATTTAAGTTAATACACATTTACTTACTTTACTTTATTTTCTACCCCTGTATCTTTAGTTCTACTTCCTGTTTCTCATTAGCTGCCCTCATGTGTACCACTTGTATCTTGTGTATTTAAACCATGAGTCGTCCTTCTCTTCTTGTTCCGTCATTGTTTTTCTACGTCTGTTTTATTTCTTGTCCTCAATCTCTGTTTGGTTACCATTTGTTGTTTATTCTGGATTTCGATTTGCTTTTATAAAATCTATTATATTTGCAGTAATGTGTTTTTGGGCTCATTTCATTTTACCCGCATGACACTTCTCTTAACTATGTGGTGTTTACCCTGGGATCAAATTTCACCGGTTTATCTCCATGGAGACGTCATCACAATGGCTAGAAAGTTCTATAAGACCTATATGTGAGATTTTGCACATCATCATAAGGCTGTTTGATTATCCGCCAGTGCACAATTGATTCAGTTCTGTATACCTTATTTGTAGTCAGTCCTTTCACACTATTCAGTCCTTATTTGCCCTAACCACTGCACCATAAGTCACGTGGAGAGAGATCAACCGGCCGTCGTACTGATTTCAATGGCTATGGACTTCAACCAAGCAGAGCGCCACAAAGAACATGTGCGCAGACTTGCAGAGTGTGTAGTGATCTTTTCATTCACGTGGTGTGCGCTCTGGCGGCAGCAGAGACTAATCATCAACTTTATGCTTTGTAGAATAAAGATAACACCCATGTGAGTAACGGCATTACCTCAAAATGAAAAGAGGTGGATTTGAATGGCCCGGAGTCTGCGCTGGGTAGATAGAACGACACAGGCACTTTTTCGGCAGTCTAAGTTATGAAACTATTAGGACCACATGACAAAGTGGTATTATTACAGCGCAGTGATATATGAACTTGCTGCAGGCTGTTCGGTTTCTAATTACCCCACAAACTCTTTGTGGAAATCGTGACAAGGCCATAACTGATTCAAGATTCAAGAATTTCTTTGCCATTTGCAGTAAAACCACTTTGGAAAAATTGTGCAAGACTACCCCAGTGTGCACCTGACAGAGAACCCACGTTACTCTACTGCATGAGTACTTAAAATTATACATATTTGGGGTAAAAATGTCTAATACCATGTACTGATGAGAGTCTGGTGTGGGCAGCGTGTTTCACAATCATCTGTGTACAAGAGAGTCAACAAACTGCACAACAGAATACAAATGCACACTTAAGCATTCCACTTGAAGCAATGCAATAACTCGCAATCAAAAGACATTCCGTTTGAACAAAAACGAGAAGAAAACAAAAACTGCTTTGGGAAATTATTCATCAGCAAGATTTTTAGTTAAACGTGGAGGTCTGCATAATAATGTTGACGACAATACATCTAGCATAGCTTCATGGTACAGTATTAAAGGGACAACAATAGATTTAATTACAGACAAGAAAATAGGTTTGCTCGGATTGAATGTACAATTTAGTTCTATATCTTTCCGTCCGTCCATCCATTTGTATAAATTGATTGCAAACCAGTGATGACAGGTCAGTACAACCAACTCGCAAATTTTCCCCAGATACAACATGAAAAGTCATTTTTTTAATGTCTTATTTTGTGTATGATAATAGTTATTGTCAGTGCATTCTTTTGTTTCACTTTATTGTTTGAGATTTTAGCCATTTGCTGCCTTTGTGGAGCTCTGACGTGTCTGAAGTTTCGTGACAGCAAAGGCATTTTAGACTTCACAAGATAATGTGCGTTTTTTCTGACTGTAGCCTTTATCTTTACTGTAGTTATTGTTCTGCTCATGTTGTTGAGGTGGATCAGGTTAAAATATTGCCTTAAGAAGCAGGATGTAAACCCTAACTCAGGTTGCCAGATATGCAGACGAATCCAGCTGGGACAATAATATCTGAATAAACAAGAGTTTTGTCAACAGCAAATCTATAACCAACCTTTTCCACAAAGCCCCTGAAAGAAATCCTAGTTTTATTCCTTATTTTGTTATTAATGATTTGAGAATCATAACGGGACTATTTTTAAAACAGAGGGCACATTTTACTTTACCAGTGAGATTAGCTCGACGCGGTGAGTTCTGGCAACACGGATCATGGACTCTTTGACTGATGAAACAGTAGCAACATTTAGGGGAAAAATTTATTTTGAAATTCCAATATCTCGGCTGATCCGTTAAAGAAGTTAACGAGCATGGTTTATGCCTTTTGACTTATTATGGCCATTTATTTATGACATGAAAATCTCACATATTGCTACTTTAAGGGTAAAAAATGGTTTAAGTAAGGTGTATGCAGCGTTCCTAAAGCTACAAATCATTGTTGCCAGGGTAGGTTATATTGCACTGGCCATTCAGATAGCTTTGAAGTGCTCTCTAAGAGTGGTCCCCAACCCCCGGTCTGCGGCCCAAGACCAGGCTCCATTCGGAACTGAAAACAAAATAAAATGACTTGATTCTGACTTGATAGCGCTGAAATGTGTTCCACTAGCTAGAATAATTAGTAAAAAGCAGGTGAAGACAGTAATGTGTTCCTCTGCTGCGTGCGTGGTCTGAGCGGAATGACTTGTAATGCAGTGTTAATTTACTGTAAGGTTTTTAAGAGAAAGGCGCACGAAGGAAAGAATGAGATGCCTCTACGCAGCTTTAACAAAAGACGAGAAGACGGAAAGAACGGAGGAAAAAGGATAAATATGGGGTGAAAGCTCAAACAACAATGACCGGAGGAGCGAGGACCATGGAGGTGTCTCTGGAGGAGGGCGCACACAGCATGGACTGAGCCGAGGCCAACAGCAGATGGAGTTTTCACCAACAAGAATTGGTAATTGACTATCGGCCTGTGAAAGTATTGTATGACAGTAAACCCGGTCCTCGCTTCTTAAAAGGTTGGGGACTGCAGCTCTAATATGTAGGCAAATAATAGTAATAATTCATAATGTACACAAATAAATACACACAACCTCATAACATACAGTACATAGCATCAGCTGCCACCTTAAACATTGAGTTATGCTTCTTTTAAACACCAACTAAAATCCTCCAGGCCTCCTGACTGGCATCTGCAATATTCTTCTACCCACATCCTCCCATATCTAATAACCATCAATGCCAAAACATGCATACAAGACATCCTCCTTGGCATATACTGTGTTTGTTCTTTTAGGATTACATTTACATTTACGTTTACACTGACCTGAGGCGTCATGCCGTGGCACAGATACATGATGGGAACATTTTCTGAGTCAGGCCCTTGGTCCAAACACAGGTCGTCCCTTAGGCTGTTCTTCAACTGTGGAATCAAGGAGGATGAGTTAGAGCTTTCCATTTATGACACACACACGTACGCACACACACACACACACACTGACTGATGGGTGGAACACACTTCTGAGCCATGACTTACATATTAAACATGAAACATATAAGATGAATGCCCTATAGGCTGCATTTAAAGACACAATAAAGATTATACTATTGTTAAAACAGGATTGACACAGAGAAAAGCTTGAATAGAATCAAAATAGACTTATTATTAAAAGGCATCTGACTGAAGAAAACTAGAAACGCTTGTTGTTTGTTGAAGTAAAAGCCACTAATAGCATTTAAAGCATATTCCATTGAGCAGCCCTGTCCCTCCGCCTCCTCTTTGTCCATAGGATATTAATTAGTCCATTATGACAGAGACGATGAGCCTCCATTTGTGCCACCAAAGTGGAGAATAATGGAAACACTGCAGGATAATTATTGCTCACAGCACAAAGTCACATAATGCATGAAGCATCCTTCACCTGCCGAGGCCATTTCAAACACAAGAAAGTTCTCAGCACCTGCACTTTTCAGATCACAGTAAACAATTTACACTTGGCGCAGATTCATGTGCAATTAGAATATGAAATGTTTGGAGAAATGCACCCCGTTGACCTGTTTTAGAATACATTTATAGTTCTATTCAGACCAAACCAATTTAATTTCAATAACAGAACACAGACCGTGTAGTTTAATCTACCAGTATTACAAAAGGGATGTGTCTGTATGCTTTGATTATTTTGAAGATCAATATGATTAGTTATAGATTTGTCGGCTTACTATTTATGCAAACAACCAAAATTCTATACAAATTATAAGAGGAATGAGCGCATATGGGGATCAAACAATGTAGGACAAACGTGAGGGGTCAGTAGGAAGATAAAGAGTTTCGACCCCTTTCAGGTCAAGACGAATGTCCCTAGAATTATAATAAATGAGGATTTTAATTATCGGACCTTGTTTTCTCACAAAATGTGTTAAAAGTCTGGGTCAAGTGCTCTCCATGGGTCCAAGAAACATCAAAGAGATGAGCTTAGTGTTTGGCCGAGTAAACTCAGGGCTATAATATTTACATTGGCAATGGATGAGATTTCCCCACGGTAAGTGTACCTTACCTAATTATACTATTTATAATCATAATTTACAAAAAAATGAGCTTGAACAGAGGGGACACCACTGAGATCTACTGTAAGCTCCTAATGAAAGTTCGATTTTTATTTTATTTTACTAGTGCAAGCCATGTCAAAGAACTGTTGATAAAATGTCAAGGATTTTTCAGTGAAAAACTGTGTGGAGGATCCTTGAAGTTTCTTTTTGTTCCACTGAGTGAAAGTTGCTGAGGTTAGATGGAATGTGAATCTAGTTAAGGTTTTATTTATTATAAAGGGTGTTTCAACAAAAGCTCACCATTTACAGTGCCTTGCGAAAGTATTCGGCCCCCTTGAACCTTTCAACATTTCGCCACATTTCAGGCTTCAGACATAAAGATATAACAATTTTATTTTTTGTCATGAATCAACAACAAGTGGGACACAATCGTGAAGTGGAACTAAATTTATTGGATAATTTAAACTTTTTTAACAAATAAAAAACTGAAAAGAGGGGCGTGCAATATTATTCGGCCCCTTTACTTTCAGTGCAGCAAACTCACTCCAGAAGTTCAGTGAGGATCTTTGAATGATCCAATGTTGTCCTAAATGACTGATGATGATAAATAGAATGCACCTGTGTGTAATCAAGTCTCCGTATAAATGCACCTGCTCTTTGATAGTCTCAGGGTTCTGTTTAAAGCGCAGAGAGAACCATGAAGACAAAGGAACACACCAGGCAGGTCCGAGATACTGTTGTGGAGAAGTTTAAAGCCGGATTTGGATACAAAAAGATTTCCCAAGCTTTAAACATCTCAAGGAGCACTGTGCAAGCAATTATATTGAAATGGAAGGAGTATCAGACCACTGCAAATCTACCAAGACCCGGCCGTCCCTCCAAACTTTCATCTCAAACAAGGAGAAGACTGATCAGAGATGCAGACAAGAGGCCCATGATCACTCTGGATGAACTGCAGATAACTACAGCTGAGGTGGGAGAGTCTGTCCATAGGACAACAATCAGTCGTGCACTGCACAAATCTGGCCTTTATGGAAGAGTGGCAAGAAGAAAGCCATTTCTCAAAGATATCCATAAAAAGTCTCGTTTAAAGTTTGCCACAAGCCACCTGTGAGACACACCAAACATGTGGAAGAAGGTGCTCTGGTCAGATGAAACCAAAATCGAACTTTTTGGCCACAATGCAAAACGATATGTTTGGCGTAAAAGCAACACAGCTCATCACCCTGAACACACCATCCCCACTGTCAAACATGGTGGTGGCAGCATCATGCTTTGGGCCTGCTTTTCTTCAGCAGGGACAAGGAAGATGGCTAAAATTGATGGGAAGATGGATGGAGCCAAATACAGGACCATTCTGGAAGAAAACCTGTTGGAGTCTGCAAAACAGGGACGGAGATTTATCTTCCAACAGGACAATGATCCAAAACATAAAGCCAAATCTACAATGGAATGGTTCACAAATAGACGTATCCAGGTGTTAGAATGGCCAAGTCAAAGTCCAGACCTGAATCCAATCGAGAATCTGTGGAAAGAGCTGAAGACTGCTGTTCACAAACGCTCTCCATCCAACCTCACTGAGCTCGAGCTGTTTTGCAAGGAAGAATGGGCAAGTATTCCAGTCTCTCGATGTGAAAAACTGATAGAGACATACCCCAAGCGACTTGCAGCTGTAATTGCAGCAAAAGGTGGCGCTACAAAGTATAAGCGCAAGGGGGGCCGAATAATATTGCACGCCCCACTTTTCAGTTTTTTATTTGTTAAAAAAGTTTAAATTATCCAATAAATTTTGTTCCACTTCACGATTGTGTCCCACTTGTTGTTGATTCTTGACAAAAAATTTAATTTTTATATCTTTATGTTTGAAGCCTGAAATGGGGCGAAACGTTGAAAGGTTCAAAGGTGCAAAATACTTTTGCAAGGCACTGTACATACATTACATCACCATAAGATATTGCAGTTACTGTACACAGCGCAATGTTGTCCTTTTCAAGGGAAAAGAACGTCCTTGAAGAAACACAATCATGCTATGTATTTTTGAGAGAGGTAAATACAAAACGCAATACAGGTAATGTGTTGTGCTGCTTCTCTGTATGACGTGAATCATAGAAATAGGAGCACTTAAGAAGATGACTGCCATCCTCTGAACAGCCGGCAAAGTGCGGACACGTCAATGCCATACAAACACTGTGTGCGGAAACAGATCGAAAACTGTGCCGCTTGATGAGCCATAACCCAAAATCAATCAATCAATCTTTATTAATATAACAAATAAAATCATACCTTACCTGACCCATACAGTGGTTGCAACATTATAAAGATCAGTTTTCATCACCACAATGTCCATTTTTTCACACATCAAACTGTTTTCAAACTGTCAATAGTGAGAAATGGACAGTGGGAAATGCTGACCTCCACTTAGAAAGATAAACAAGTTGGAGAGCATCGGATCTGATGCCTGCGCACATGTTTTATAAATGTTAAATTTTCTCATAAACGGCAAAACGTAGCGACTTTTTTTTTCTCTGTGAAGTACACATTTCAGGCATTACAGCGCTAGTTTTGTTTTGTCTGTGTGACTTTTGGGGGATTTTCTACGTGTGTTTGAATGTCGGTAAGCCCCGGCGATCCAAGATGGCGCCCTATTCAAATGAATGGTTGTGCTCAGTGGCGCTTTGTGACGGCATGGGGGCTGAAAGATTAGCGGAAGTCGCGTGAAACTCGCAAAGATCTATGGGAAACTCGCAAAGATCTATGGGAAACTCGCCTGTATTTCGGCATTGTCTGGTCCTCCCGGTTCTGCGCAGTGGATGATCTCCCATAATGCGTTGCGCCAAACACTCGTGTGTGGGTCTCACACCGGGTCTCACGCACGTGCACAGAGGGGCTCGGCCGCGCTCTGACCAATCAGAGCAGGAGTTAGAGCGAGAGCCAGACAGGCAGAGTTTGTGGCAGTAAAGTGTGGATTTAAACAAAACCGAAGGATTTAAGAAGAAAAAAAGTTCAGGATGACAAGGGAGACTAAAATCCTTACAAAATCCGATCGTTATGAAAGCTGTAGGTTCTCTGTCAGCTGAGGTTGAGCTGTTTTAATTGAGTTCTATGGGGAAAATTTGTATGGAGGACCAAAAATGACTAAAGTATAAATAAATAAATACAGGAATATATAAATAAATACATTCATTTTGGACAATAAAAACTAAATATTTACATTGATGTGTTAAATATTACTATGAAATCAAATAAATATATTTTTATTTAGGTTATTTATCAATATCTAAATTTTTTCCTTTATTTATTTATCCATTTATTGCATATATTTATTTATGTATTTCTAAATTTCTTCATTTATTTATTTATGTATTTCTACATTTCTTCATTTATTTATTTATGTATTTCTGTGTTCCCGTATGCTAATTAGGCGGGCGGTGCTGAACTCAATCAATAGCAGGATTGGTGGGCAGTAGGTCAGCCAGGGCAACCAGACAGAAGCAAAGTTAACCTTCTCGGTTTGTGAGAGGATGTGAAGCTGCTGTATAGCTTGTTGAAGTCCTGTGCGTCCAGCACAGTTGCATCAAAGTCTACCTCTGGGTCAGCACTGTGATGAACTAAAACATTTAATAGTCTTTCCAGCCGAAAGAGTAGATAGTCCTCAGGTGCATTATGCTCAACATCATTAACATAATTTGCTAATGCTCTTAATTGATGAGCAATGGCTCCTAAGAAACTTACATTCGAAATTGCCATCATACCACACAAAAGTGCACAGAGGATCTCTAACTAGCTAACAGAGTACCGTAATGTGAGGCAGTAATGATCGAGACCAGAGTTCACCCAATCCTAACCAATCCTGTTCTAGATTGAGTTCAGCACCGC